GGGTTCAGTAGTAAGCTGTAGGGGTTTGAAGCCTGTCGAAAAGAGATTTGACCAGGCTCCCGCTGGGCTAAAACCCCGGAGGTCTCCAGCACCCAGAAGCCTCCTCGGCCAGGTCCGTGGTAGTGCAGGACAACTCTGCGAGCTCCCGGGACAACGAGTCTCGCTGGGAGCGGATGCTCCTGAGGAGCGAACATACAGTGACCACAAACTCGCTCCAACCCAGCCAAAGCTTCAGCCAGGGGGCTGAGGCTTGGGGATCCAACGGCAAAGGATAGAAGGCATTGGGAAACTTGCGGCTTTATGGGGGAAGGTCTTCAAATCATGTGCTCCCACCCAACGACCTCGATACGGCCCGAAACGTGTAAACATCCTCCGAAATCAACCTCAAAGAGGGCTGCTCCGACCCAAACCGCAAAACCCGAAAACTAAGAGTCCTGGAAACGTTGGAGACCTGGCCCGAAAGCCTGGAAGTTCTGATTGGTGCTTTTGAAACTGAGATCAGATCCGAAAAAGCCCAAATCTCAACAAAAATCCGGACCCGAGGAGATACCTAGGATCATCTAAACAACCCAGCCCAAGGCTCTGCGTCTTGTCTGCTGCTGCCTCGCGGGCTTCCGAAATCTTGAGCTCAGCCCATCCTGAGCAGATGGTGTCTTAGAATAGGGTTTTATACAGGGTGCAAGCAAAGACTGCATGAATTGCCAAAACATTGCAGTCTACGCTAGAAAGCTCTGGTGTGATACAGTCTCAGTTGCTCCGGCTAATAACTGCGCAGCGGCATCGGACTGATTGAGGCGAGGAACGCCCAAGGCATGCGGCATGGAAGATATGATCACAGGGAGCATGGACGACGCTGGCATCCGTGACGCTACCGCAGACCTGCTCGGGCTTCATGTTTCGAGAGCTCGGGAAGCAAAGGTGAGTACGCAGAAGCTATTGCGGGGGGTACATGCTTCTGGTCCAAACGGCCGCTTGAGACCAGCAGAAACGAACAGCTGTCTGGCTACTTCCTCATGGAACCCCGGCCAAAACTCGCTGGAACACGGATCCACCCTCTGTGCCCACACAAGAAATGGCCCAACCGTGAAGCGAAATCGATGAGATGCTTGGGGCTTCGGGTTCTGGTGAGTTGCTCTCACACTCGCGCATTGCATTTTCGTGACACTCGCAGTGGAACAGTCCGGGAAGGGTCACGGTCTGCAAAGTTTGGGGGATTAGGCCCGTGCTAGCGCCCGGCCTGCAAGCAGATCAAGCACTCACTCTCGTCGTTGGCCTGGTCCAGAGCCTCGCTGACCTCCTCCAGAAGTGGACAAAGACAGCCCTCCTCGGCCAAACCTGATGTGAGGCGCTGCAAGTTTCAAGTCAAGTAGGGGGTTTATAATGAGGTCGAGTTCAGGGTTTCAGCATCCCGGGAGTTGGGCTGGCAGCTACAGGTTTGGGGATTCAAAAGTTACGGAGCCAAACTTGCCTACACTGACCGTGACGTCTGGATGCAAGACAGGAGAAACAATAACCTAGTAGCAACTAGCAGCCGCAATCTTCGCTCGAGATTACCATACTCTAAGGCATCCGTTTAGTGTAGGTGTTTAGGGCCAGAGTGTCATAATTTGGGATCCAACTTATCCGTATGACAAGGACCCTAGATGATCCTAGTATGCAGTGCCAGTAGGGGAGTCTCTACTTCCATGGGCTCGCTCGCGACTTTTCTACTACGACCGGCCACTCACACAACCCCTCCTCAATAGGTGGAAATGTTTCAATAACCAGCTAAGGTGCAGCGTCAGCTCCTAACTTCACATTAGCATTGGCATTGGAAACAGTGTGATGCAGTAGCACTACAGTATTTTGTATTAGTAATTTGTGTATTAGTAATTCTAATAGTGCTAGTGCCAGTACAAGCATTACTATGAAGCTCAGGGGCCGTTGCTTTGCAGGAAGGCCTTGGCAGCTGACAAAAGGCTAGCCAGGCCTGAGTCTGTCAGGCCTCTGGACCGCTCCACGCACACCTCAGGATAGCGGGGGTCTTTAGGTTGGGGGCCTGTGGGTCTAGGATTTGGAGTGCATAGGGGTTGGGGCTAGGGATATATATATATGGATGTATGTATGTATGTATGTATGTATATATATATACATACACATGTTCATCGTGTGCTTGGGCGGACCTTCTTATAAGGCAGTCGAAGACTGCGTGGCTACACTACGGCGAAGATAGGAGGGTGAGACAACATTGCAGGGCTTTGTGAACCTATATATATATATTATATATATATATGTAGACACGTTTATATTCGCCCTCCTCTGAGTAAGGTGTGCTTAGGGCCGATGCACAAGATAAGCAATGATAGGCTTTGCTGGCTGATGCTTGTGGCTTTGCCCAGCCGTCCTTCCACAAAGGGCAGCGACAGCATTTAAAACAAGCGGCGACTTCAAATGAGGAACTGCGACAACAGTGTAAGCCAGTAGCGATAACTGTAATTACACACCATAAGGCTGTACCCCAACCGCCAACCGACCCCTGACCCGCCTCAGGCATGGCCTGGCCGGGATAGCCTCAGCTGACTAGTCGCCTCTGTGGTTTCAAAACTAGAGGGCCGAGAGTTAAGGAACTGCTGATTCGTGGTGCTGGCCAAATAGGAAGACAATCTTCTTTCGCACACATGCCTGCGCAGAACGCCGGAAAAGCATTCTTGCGCGGTTTGGCAACACCTTGACCCCTCACTATCACACATACAACATATCGTAGCAAACGGTCCAACATCTCAGGATGCAGATGACAACACAAGTGACGAAGCCGTGCCTACAGCAACATTCCGAGGTCGTCAGCCGCGACATCACAACAACCACCCAAGTGGTCTTCCGACCCCTGTAACTGCAAACAAACAAAACAAACACCTCTGAAGTCTTTGCAAACCGGACGAAGAGCCATCGGGGAGGCGCAGTGCCACGGTTGCCGAGACAAGGGCTGTCCCTTGGCCCACCCGGGGCCTGGGTCAACATTGCTGTGGGGTTCCCCTGTCAGGGATTCTCAACAAACAGCTAAGCACACATACACGCATGGATGCATGCATGCATGTGTGCATGCATGCAGGCATACGTACATGCACGTATACAAGCATGCATGCATACATGCATGCATACATACAACATACCTACATACAGACATACAGACCTGCATACAAATGAGTGGTCATTAAAGCTGAGACTTGCTCAGGGCTTTTTCGGTATGCTATCGTTACTAGCCGTCAATTTTCTTTCTGCTGGCATTGGCATGGCTCATGCCGTTGCTGTTGCTGTTGCTGGTGCTGCTGCTGTTGCTGTTGTTGTTGTTGTTGCTGCTGTTGTTGCTTCTGGTGTTGCTGCTGTTGTTGCGGCGGCGGTCGGCGGCCGGCGGCCGGCGGCGGCGGCGGCCGTTGCTGCTGCTGTTGCTGCTATTCAGTTTGTTGTTGTGCTTGTTGTTGTGTGGTTGTGTTTGTCGCTGTTGCTGCTGGATTCTCTTCTGCTGGATTGGAGATTGGAGTCTTTCCTAACAAGTCCTCACAGCAGCTTGATGTGTAGAGCGGTACTCAACTAGATGAACGCATATACATATATACATATATATATTATATACACACACACATTCGTCATATATTCGTACAGCCTGCCGTATCTGGGACGTCACCTTGAAGCTGAGAGTCAACATGCAACATGTGACGAGCTGGTTCCAGTGCGGGCTAAATATGCTCGAATGCCGGCACAAATTTAGCCAACGATGACGGGTGGCTGGAGGTCGACAAGAACCACAGCTTCCCGATCCAGATTGACATCGACAGCTTCGTCCCCATAGATGGCCTTCACCTTCGTCGCTCGCTTCGAAGGCCAATAATTGTGGCCAATAGCCACTCCAAAGGACCATGGTGAGGAGACGTCGCAAGTGACTCGTTGAACTGATGGGAAATGCGTGAAGATGCTGCTCCGAAACACCGAAAACACAAAACCAGCTTGCAGGAGCAGCCGAATCACAAGCTCCACTTCAGACTCCACGGCTTCCGGCAGCTGCGACATGGCACGTTCCGCTAGCACGCGGGATTCTCAAAGTTAGAAGCGGCTGTTTCCGCTCGAGGCGAGCTAGACTTCTGCATGTCGGTCAGCTTAACTATAACCGGCTCTAGATTTCGACAACGAATGCTTTGAAAGCAATGCGAATCTTAGTGGTTTACAGACAGCTATCGACTGCAATGTCACACAGTTCGATATATCATCTACATGAGCCAATGTTCGGGAGCAAAGGAACAAGCAAGAAACCTCAAGGCTTCACCCCTGTGGCACGCCCCAGCTAAGTACCAATGTGTTGCCAGGATCCGTGCACATTGTCGCAAAGCAGCGCAGTAGTAGTCGTTGTCGGAGTAGCAATAGGAGTCGTAGTCGTGGTCGCAGTCGTAGGCGTAGTCGCAGTCGCAGTAGTAGTAGTACTCGTCGTCGTCGTCGTAGTAGGAGTAGCTTTTAACACTGATAATAATAATTACAATAGTAGTAATGATGGTAAGTGCAATAATGATAAGAAGAAGAATAATAGCAATAGCAATAATAATTAAGAAGCGGCTTTGGTAGAAGCAGGAAGAGTTGTAATTAGTAGTGTAGCATGATCAGAAGCAGCAGTAACAGCAACAGTCCCAAGTGGCGCTGTCTGTCACCGTGGTGGAGGGGCTGAGGTTGAAACGGCTTGCGCTCTAGACAGAAGCATTCTAAAAATTACTGGTTTGAACTGCTGTTGAACATTGCAGCTTGCTGTTTGAGTTGTAGGTCTGGCTGCAAACCGGGCCAGAATAGTCGTGTGTTGTTCAACCTTCAGATGTGCTCCGGCAAGGCTTAAGACAACCCAAATGCTGTGTCTCGGCAAGTCGTAGAGTTCCGTTCCGCTGGGCAGGAAAGCACGAACCGACGAGATTCCAAGACAAGTTGGCACAAGACAAGACACACGCCTGCTACTACATAGCGCTTTAGCCAGTTGAATCGAGATTTCACTTCTTCTGAGGTACAGAGAAATCTACCAGATAGGTGCGCTGTCTCGTGCGAGTGCTGCGCAAAGACACCAACCAGCTCATATGCCTCAGCGGGACACGGAACGTTTCTCGAAGGGCTCAAAACAGTGAGACCCGGGACTTCTGTGCTCAAAGGCTTATAATGCCTGCAATGGAAGTCTCCGAAGCGCACGCTGTCTGCTTCCATGTCGCTGAAATTCGGTCAAGTGTTGCGCTCCTAAAAGGATGATCACCTGAGTGGAGGCCGTGTGGCGTCCGCTCTCGCCTGCTTCTTTCTTAAACGGCTTGACTGACACCTGCACGGCCGGTCATACATCCATGAATAAGCTTCGGCAGGACAAATGTATGAACATAATCTTCAGCAGTACGGCGAATCCACCGGCCAGCACAAACTAGATCTGCGAGTGGCTCAACTTGCCCTCACAACGCGAGCTCATGTGACGACTACCTGCGAAGATCATGTGTGCGTGGCAACATGGTCTAAATATTTGGTGGAGTGATGTGTGTCGAAATAGCACGGTCCATCCTGCTTGAAGACTGCCAGATGTCAGGGGGCCTCGGGTCTTGGCTCTGACACGCGGTGCCCATCATAAACAAAATTCGAACGCAGCTGAGCCCCCTCTCCTGCTTTCGGGGCGCATTGAGGACACATCGCGGCACGAAATACCTTCATGGCCCGTGGCTGTGGGCAACAGCCAGCTGCTCGCTTCCCTACTTCGGGCCAGTGATGGTTCATGTCTGGTACCACGGGTTACTAAAAGCTTCAGAGGGCACAGTGGACAGGTGAATCTGGAAAGCGCTCATGACACCTGCTCAAGTCAGTGCCGAGTTCGGCAGAACATTCCGGGGCACAAGTAGGAACTGAAGAGCTTGAGGACCAAAGCCACGACTACCTGGGCTGCCAGGACACTTGATTGCTTGACGCTCAAGCGTTTCTGGTCGGTCCAGAGCGCACACGACATCCGCTTGCAGTCTTTTGGGTGCAGCAGGCCATTTTAGGCTTGTGTCGAGCCAGGGGGCTGCCACCCAGACATTGGCACCAAGCTGGCTCATGACGCCCGTCGAGTAAGCAATGCCCATACCTGGGAGGGTGCAATCTGCAAGGCGCCAGCTCTCTGGCTCTGGCTAGAAGCCTTTTGAAAAGCCAAACTCCCAACTGTCCTAACGATCCTGGAACGTTGAAATCCTGGGGCTGATGCGCTTTTTGTGCATGCGGTCAAGAGGCGGCTCAAGCCAATCCTCGGAACAAGGTTCATCGGTTCCCCCCCCTGTTTTTGGCGAGCGGCGTGGAGCTACGGTGGCTGTTAGGACGTATGGGGCGACTTCATTGACTTGATTGCGAACAAGAAGCTTTTTGTGGCAAAGTCTTATCATGAGTCAGGGCGACTGCGTGTCGGGATGTGCAATCAACCCTTGGCTTTGTACTATGTATCTGGCGGCTCAACTGCTTGGATTTGCAACGCTCCATGTCTCACCTGTCATCTGAACCGAAAGGAACTCTAACCCCGAACTTGGTCACAGTGTTCAAAGCCCGAAACCTGATTCAATGCAGAGTTATGAACAACGTTCCGCTACACGTCTCTCGCTGTAAAACCTGAAGCCTATCAACCGAGCACTTCCGTCTTGGGACCCAGCTACGTGCAGGCTTCTGTCTTAAGACCCTCGGCGGCTCTGCAACAGTTTGCTCTCGATGCAGATTTCGGGTCAAAGCTAGTGTGCAGGATCGGGGATTCAGGGCTATTCCAGATTCTGGGCTCTGATTTGTTCAGGTATGCGGGGGCTTGGATGTCCCATTCTGTTCTTAGTGCCTAACTTCAACTCCCCAGAACATGCAGAACCAGAACACTATAACCAAACGCCAAAATACAAATCTTGTAAGTCCTGTGAGTCCTGTTTCCGAGAATCTGGGTGGGTACCGCGCCGTAGAGAGCGCCTCCCAGGTTCGCGAAACCCAAAGCCAAAAGCTCGTTGATGGCGATCACCTGCGCTTTTTTTTGCGCGGGAAAAGCTCGAATGATCAGATTCTGAATACGAGCCCAGGTTCCCGGCCACCTGCGAACTTAGGCCTAGTTACTCCTAGTTGAGGGGAGCCGGAAGGAAACTGCTGGGAGATCTTCTGATTTCCTCCACATGCTTCAAGGCTCATAGTTTGGCTTGGCTTGCAAGGCTTCGGGAACAAACTGTAACTTTAGATCAAATCCAGGCAAACGGTCGGTGCCGCTTAGATTGTCCTAGATAGAAACACCCCCCCCACACACACCTACATGTATACAGACATTTTTCCAAAGCCATACCGTGAAAGGACTGTACGTCAAGTTCAAAACACGGCGTTGGTCAAGCAAAAGGAGGCTTGCCCTCTACAGATGCTTTAGAACTGTCTTTGCAAACTTGCATTACAGCTGAGATTATCCTCTGCCGGGGTTTCTTCATACGATGTTCTTCCAAGCGCCTCTTCTCACACCAACGTTTTTGTGGTGTATGCACGTCTGCCGGGGCTTCCCAGCTCGCTTCTTGCCAGAGTCAATTTCAGTGGCACTGCTGGGCATAAAGGAGATACGATACCTGTCTTCATGGATCTGAATTTGTACAACGAAGTATTTGAGCCAATGGCTTAGCGCATCTTCGGTTACCGAACTCACTAAATCATAGTGTATATATATACACACGCATAGTTATACATATATATATATATATCTTTTAAATATATAGACATACACATGGATCTTTGCAGGGACCTGACTTAGACAAGGAAAGCACATGTGCACCCTTATGCTTGCAGGCTTGGTTCTACCGAAAGGGGAGGCCAGTCGTCAAGTCTAGCCACCTGATAGCCAGCTTGCATCGCAAACCTTAGCCAGCTGAGCAGCAAAACAGGAGCCAGTTGCTCTCACAGTTTGGCTACTCATGACAAGCCGAGCTGAAAACTAAGGCAGCCTTCTGTTCACATCATTTCTGTCAAGCTACACACACATAAATACATAACTTGCATATACAGTTACCATCTTTCGAAAAAGCGAGCAAGAGAGAGTGAGAGTGAGAGAGAGAGAGAAGGACCCGTCTCCGGCAGCTCCTCCTCGCTCCTTCACTTGACCGATGGACCGTAAAGCACAACCTGTCTGGTTTTGGCCTGTGAGTGACGATCGCTTCTTGATCCTGCAGCTTCTTAGGCACTGAACCTGGAAACCCCCAACTTGGCAAGAGAGTCTGGTAAGTCTTCCCTTTCAAAGAGTCCTTACTTATGCAGGCCCTGAAGCAGCCGCATGGGAAATCAATCCGATGTGGATCCTGCCAGAAGGCTTCTTGGCGCCGGCAAAGGAGGAGAGGAAGGTGACCAGTGCTACCATGGTCGCCCCCGGGAGCATCTCCTGGAGATCTGTGAGTTACGGTTTGCACGTCGCAGCTCCGAGTTGAGGGTTCGTGCTTAACGAAACTAGGGACCATGACGGCCTGACATGACTGGCATTTGCTGGGCGGGGCATGCCCTCAGAGCGTGACTCACAATCCTCCGTCCCAAGTCAGCTTCCATACCAACTGCACCAATGATACCAATACCACTTGTACCGACAACAATCGTACCGCGACAGTTGCCAGTTCGATTCTCATTCCACTGTCCTTTGTTCCCTGTCGCTTTTGCAGTTGCAACATGAACTTACACAACCCAACTGTTTTCACTCACTTCAGTCTCGAGGCTCCAGAGGCCGTCGAGCGTTAGATTTCCATGTCCTTGCTGTCCTTGCTACATAGAAGCCTAACATGTGCACGACGGGCCGTTCACCTCGGATCTCCGCACTGGGCTCATCGGTTGGGTTCCCTTACGCGAGAACTAGGTCAGAAACCGTGGCAAATACCAAAGCCCCCGAGAGCCCTCACGGCACAAGGAGAAGGCTATAATGATGCTTCCGCAAGCATTTGCCGTTTCGAGACCGAAGGCTCCCTGGGAATCTATAGAAACTTCAGGAAGTGAACTTCGAAACCTCCCCGACAGCCTGTGCTAGTGCCAGGTCATCCGCTGTTTGGAGAGGCCAGGAGCTGCTTGGGAGCCCAGCTGGGACATCCTGGGCTCGGCAGCCATGGCCAGGGCGGGCCATAGCGCCAGAATGAAAGAAGCAATCGTCGAAAAAAACTTGAGAAGAGCACAACAAAAGCTGCATATGTTCTCCGCCCTTGCAAATGTGACAAGCACCTGCAGTGGCCTACGAGCTGCTATGCAAAGGCATTAAGCGTTCATCGACAGGTCCAAGTATCCCCCACCACGGAGATGCCAAAGTCTGCAGCAAACCTGGTGCAAAACGGCGCCAGACCATTTCTTAGGCATGCACCCAGCCCATGGGAAGACGGAGTAAGATAACCCTAGAATCACCGAGATCTGAACCTGAAAATGTCAACACAGATGGAGCAGAAGCCGTCGTCGCCAGGCCTGGTCGCAAAAATTGCAGAAAACGCCAATAGCGTGAGCTCCTGCAGCGAAGCCGTTCGCCCCTGCTATTGCTAAGTGGCTCCTGCTCCTCCTCCTCCTCCTCAGTCCTACTCCTCCTCGTAGTTGCAGCAGCAATGAGATGCTCGCACTTGCATTGACGGGAGGACCGAATGGCCGATGCTCAACACCGAAAACCCCACAGCTATCGGGGAACATGCCTTCCCGATCTGCTTGGTGTGGAAAGGATGCCGAAAACTGTAGGCCCTCCCGTGCAGTCCTTGAAGTCGCCCAGGAGTCGCAAAGTCCAGTGCAAAGATTTCAACTTCTTGATCACTGACAAGTACGTCAAAGCACCTCTGCTTGGAACCCTCGTGCTTTTAATTCTTGTGGATTAGTTTGATGTTAAGGTTTAGGTTTGAAAGATGTTAAAAGTTTGGCTCAGGCATGGCACCAGACTTGCGCGACAGGATCGCACTCTCGGCCGCGCTGCTACTTTGCGGCTTGGGGCTGTACTAGACGGTTCTTGATGGCTTCTATCCGGAGCCTCTGGCTTCGCACTATAGCTTTCAACAGGGCCAAGGCTGATATGAGATGCAGGCATGCATTTTTGAAAATCACCGTGCTACTTGGACAAGAACGCTCCAAGATTTTCGTTCAAATGTCGATCACGAAACCACGAGAACCTGCAAGGCAATAAAAGACACACTGTCTCATGCGGAATGTCTGATCGAGCCGGTGCAATGCGAGAGTGTGTCAAAATACATCTCTCCATCACTCGCCTTGCACATACACCAGCATGTTGTCGTCCAAGCTGGAATGGTGGCACATCAACGGAGGCTCATGAGAGCTTCTCAGGCAACGGGCTAGGGATACTTGCAGAACCAAACGGTGGAGTGTCACCTGATGGCTGAAGAACCTGACTGACCTTGGACTCGTTGGAGCGATCATTTATGCCAACACCACCAGCAGACCCACCGAGGCACAAAGACTCATCGCGACTGTGGGCAAGCGCACGTCTTGGAAGTCCCGTGGGTGCGACAAAGCAATGGCCTTCACGGGTCGTGCAGCAAGATTGATATAGCTATTAGCTATGGTTCATCGACTCATGGAACAATGGGTAGCATTAGCAATGCTTTCAATGACGCTGCTGTACTTCTGTCTTTCCGTAGCACTACCAAACACTACCAGTAAATGGCGCCCGTGCTGCAATTGCAGTTGCTCCGAAACCTTCTCCTGCTGTGCGTCCGGTACAGGCATAGGACTAAGCCCTTGGCAAAGATGCCACCAGTGTCCGACTTGGGAAGCCCCAGCATAGGCTTTATCTGCGAAGCCATGATGAGGATGGCCTTCAGCGGATTGATCACAGGCAGGGCAGCGTTGAACGGAAACACTTTCCGGATTGAATTGCTGAGGGGAAGGCACTCGCAGTGATAAAGCCACTAAGCCTCACCAGCCGAGGCTTGCAGGGCTCCAAGATTCAAACCATGAGCCATGACCTAGCTTGTTACATCGGCACTTCGAGCACGGGCAAGGAGCGCTGGGCGGGACAGGAAGCGCACGAGGAAAGCCAAGCGGAAGATTCCCATCAAGGTGATGACCTCGGCAAACGGATGTGCTGTTGCTTGAGGGTGTGCTGGCGGTGTGCAAGCAAGTTAAACACACCTCAAAATGGATCCTACAAAAGTACAACCGAATATCTACTCCTAACCAGAGATTACGCCCGGAATCGCTGCACCCAGGTTTGCCTGAGTGTCAGGCGATCCCCACGAGTAGAGTGAAAATGGCACCTGGCGATCGGGAGCGTCCAACGTCTACTTTGGTGTTAGCTCGAGGGCCTACCACCAAGTCAAAGAGAAGGGCAGTCAAAATGTAGATTCCTTCAGCAACGAACGGAAAGTAGGAATGGGGAGAGACGAGTGTCCGCGGCAAGCGCAGCAAGGTTTAGCCGAACTGGGTGGCTGGATTTCATGTTTAGCTTGGGCATCGAAACATTTGTGGAACCGATCGTCGCAGCCTGCAGTGTCCAATGGCAGGGTGACCCGGCAGAATTAAATCCAGATTAATTCGGACACCAAGCTACTGTTAAGATATTTGAATTCAAAAGTTGTTGCCAAACCCCAAACCCCTGGCCCAAAGCCTCCTGCCTGCATGTGTTCGCTCCTCCAGGTTTCCATACTGGGCAAGCCTTCAGACAAAGCCAAGGAACGTTCCGAAGTAATGCCAGCGTAGACCCCGAACAGCGAAAGAACACCTAGCATTGAAGCCCAACATGTCCAAGAACCATTCCAAAAGCGTCCAGTCCAACCCCTCAGTCATACCACGCTGCTTGGGTAAAACCAATTCATCACATGAATTTCCTGCATTAGGTTCGCATCAGGTATCTATTTTCGAAATGGGCATACTTCCGTTAGCCAACGCTAGGGGCGGGGTTTCAACAGGTGGTCCTCCTCCTACTATCTCCCTCCCTCCCTCCCTCCCTCCCTTTATCTTTACCCTCCCCTTGCCTCCCCCTTCCCTTACCTTCCCACCGTCAACTCTGCGTCTGTCCACGACTCTTGCTCCAGGCTTGGTGTGATTGTTGGTCTAAGCAAACTCCCTCTCACTATTCTCGAACAGGCTACGGTGCTCTGACCGTCTAGTTTTTCTCTTTGCTCCCCAGTCCCCCTCTTCGAAGCTGCGAAGTGCTGGCAGCTTTCGGCGACATTTTGATCGAGCTTAAATGGCTGCGGACTGGCTCTCTTGTTAGCTCTTCTTCAACACAGCCAGAGGGAGTAGCGGTCGCTGCCCCACCGCGCAGCTTCGCGCACTGGGAAAGAGTCGCAGGCCGCACTATCACTCCCAACCCGCCTCGAAGTCCAGGGCTGGAACCCCCCCGTAAGAACGGCACAGTATCTCTTCCTATTAGCCGGTCACCAGTTTTTGGCCAACAACCCCCCTCCCCTCCCCGACAGGACTCACAACTGGATCCCTTGCAGCTCAGGTTGACTACCTAGTGAAACTTGTACAGCAACTTGCACAGCCGAGGGCAGTTAGACCATGAAAACAAGAAACTTGGAACATGCAACTAGTACCTTCGGTTTTCCCCCGGCCTGCACGACGCAGGCATTCAGTTGGCTTCTCAGTCTCAGTTGGGCTTGGGCCGCACGGATGTAAAAAAACGAAGACGAGGACACCATCCCCCTGCCATTCACCGTCTCTTCTACTTCCTTCTGCGCTTGAGCGGTGCCGCCCCCCGCTGGGTGCTGGCGGACGCTCACTCTGGCTGGTCTGGTTCCTCCAGATCGATCTGCTTCCACCGCGACTTGCATCAGTGCATTTGTCAAGCTCGGCTTCGGATCTGGGACTGTCATCCCGCGCAACTTGGATCGTTCGGCACTTGGTTTCCTCCCTCTTTTGTCGCCAGAGCTCCCCGTTTCGCGCTCCTGCCATCTGTGCCTGAAGGTTTGCTGCCAGTCCCTCCTCCTCAGCCCCACTTCCTCATAGTCGTTGATCTCAGCTAACAGATGAGGCCTGCTGTGTCGCAACTCTCATACCCCCACAGCCTACATTACGGCCTCATCTCATCGACGCTAAGGCGAGAACTGCGGCTGGTCTGCAAACTCGCGCTATATCATGAGCATACAACCCTTGTGTGCGGTGCTGTTCCCCCACTACTTGTACGACGACAACATGCACTGCTGATATAGTAGGCCACTTAAAGTAGGATAAGTATCAGTGGGTGCACGGACAGCTCCAGTGATGTTGCACAGTGTCCCCCGAAGCAACAGAATGCAGCTACTTTAGGGTTTAGGGTTATGCATCAAACAGCTACAGTTATACTGACAGATCGCACCGATGAAGGCGTAAGTGTGCTATACACAGCTACTTCTCGGTTTCCATCATCCACGATCTGAACACACAAAGCTTTAATCAAGGCTGCCCATCTAGTGCAGGGGCATGCAGGGGCCTTAATAATTAGAATAGTCTTTTTTTTTGCTTTTGTGTTTTTTTTTTTTCTCTCTCTCTCTCTCTCTCTATTACCCTGCAGACCCCTACAGCATCTCAATTCGCGACCAGTCCCGCCAAGTGGCTGCTCCCCGGTGAGCAGAGAAATCAAGCCGCCAGTCCCTGTTTCGACCCGCAGTCGGACGAGCACACTTCCAGGGTTGTGCAAACATGCAATACACTATCGATCAGGGCTTGGTGGCTTTAGACCCATGCAATTTGCAAGGTCTTGCTTGCTGCGTTGGGAATACGTAGGAAGCACATGAACGCTTCTGGAGCATGCCTGCGGGTCACACCTTCTGTCCGCTTGAGTCAGATCTTGGCTAAGTACCCCCTAGCGAGATGCGTCTGACCATTTGCATGTTGAAGCCTGTTGCCTTCCGGACAACACCTGCCATGTGTTTAGGTGGGCTGCAACTGGGTCTATCGGCGGCTATCATCTACGAAGAGGACCTGTAGTCTGTGACCCAAAGGCTTCGCCAAGTAGCCGGAACTCGGACCAAGGGCAGGAATGGACAAGGACATGCACAGACTACCACCGACAATCACAGTTGCATGCAAAGACACACAAACATACACGGAGAGGAAAGCAGTGTGTGGCATAACAAGTCAGCAAGACTATTTTACGCAGGTGGAAATAAGCAGTTGCCATCGCAGTCATCGACCGTTGAAGGCCTACGGAAGAGTGGACACAGGTCCCGAAGATGGAGTAGAGGATGGGCGGCATGATGCAGCTGTAGGGACCGTGGATGAGCTGAACCTGTCAATTTTTCTAGCCCTTGAGAAGATTCCCTCCTCACTCTATCATTCTCAGATCCTAACATGCTCATGTTGGGAATTTGATCTGGGGTTGATCTTTCGGCACGGGAGGCAGTTGGTTCCAACTCGCCCGAACTCTATGATGTGGCTGGCCATGAAGCTTCTTTACGACCTTTGCTGTTCAGAATCGTGGCGTGGGCCGTTCGATACTGAAGCCTCTAATTACTAAGCTCGCATGTCCAACTCAAGCCACAGAAGTCGGACCCTGAGTCCCTCGGCGCCATAAGGCAAAGCCTTAGACCTCGTCGAATCGAATGCAGGCAGAAAGAACAAAAAGGCTCGACACATAAAAACAACCAGGCAAACTCAAAACTGATGCCTTGCACAGGTCCGCATGTGCCAAGGACTGCGCTACAAGGATGCATCCGAGAGTGATGCCGCCAGAGAGGTCCTCCAGCTGGTGGGACTTTGGACATCTGTGGAGTGATTGGGTTTCACCGAAAGAGTCCCGAAACCATTGTAACCTTATGACTTATGAACCATGAGGCAGAAAACTCTGCCACATCGCGAGGACCGAGAGGAAAAGGTACTTGCAGGTGCACATGTGCGGATCCGACTACTTGGAGGATCATCGGTACTTGCAGAAATAGGACTGCAAGTACGGTACAACTGCACTGGTCACTACTCCCGTCCCTGCATCGAGGTGTCAGTAGGTCGACCTATGTATGCTCAGACTGCAATTATTTATCTCAAGCATCATGCCTTTCGTCCTTGTCGGGGCACGTTCACATAGAGTGCCCGTTCTACCAATGTACACTGTGCAATCACTCCATCAATATCAATGCTGCAAGCAAGACTACTTTGGTCTCCTCCAAGAAGCGCAGATCTGCAGTGTGACGGAATACTAAGTTCATGAATGGCCTATCACAACGAACATTCAATCTAGATTTTCCGCGTTGGAAGACCTGGCAGCTGCTTCGGTGGTGAAACTTGTCAGGAGCATCACGGGCATGAATGAGGCATGGCGTAAAATTGAAGCCATGGCCGGGTGTTTCTTGCCCTTCGACATATGACTCTGTGACCAACCTCGTGATGCTCTGAAGCAGAAGCCGAAAAATCACAAGACACGGAGGTCGGAGGAGAGTTTAGCCCATTTGCTTCCAGAGTCATTCTGAGCTTTTGTCCTTTCGTTCCCGAGCCCACGTAGGCGGCTCTTTAATCCAAGGCGCAGCATAGCGGTTGTTGAAGTGGTCAAGAGCTTTGCAGACGATGGAGTCCAAGCTGTTTTGGAGCATGTTGTGCAGATCCTCCACTTGCCTGTCAATCTCCGCACGGACCTCCTCCTGCTTCGCTAGGTAAGCATCCGTGCCTTGCCTTTGGTTTGAAAGCTCTTTGCGGAGTTCCGAGAGCTTCCCACCTTCTAGACTTGTCTCGTCTTGAAGCGAAGGCTTCCACAAGAGCTGCCTGTCGTTGAGACGAACAACTCTCAGCCATTTCTCTTCGCTGTCGTCCACAGCCTCCGCTAGAATCTGCACTCCTGGCAGCCGTTGTTTCAAATTTCGGCTCAATTCGTAAAAGGCCGGGGCCAAGTCGAAGCTCCTGTAGACGATCGCCAGCTGCACTGCCATCCCTTCAGGTGCAGCCTTGGAGTGCTGCAGGCACATGTAGGGCTTACTCCACTGCCGCTGCTTGTGGTATGGGTACTGCCTCCGCATCTGATGTCGGAAGATGCGCGGGTCGTCCAGGGTGTACTGTCCATAGTCTGGACCACGGGCCCAAATGCCCTTCCGCGCATATTTGGCGAATCTGCGAGTGCAGGCTCCGAAGCCGTAACCTAGGCCACCTAGGCTGGGCCTCCGGTGCAACCCACACGCTCGCAGCATCGCAGCGCGGCACCGGAGGGTCGAGAACAGAGGGCTGAAGATCCTGAAAGCTTCTTTAAGTTCACGGTCGCCATATATTAACATGTGAAGATGTACATTCGGTCTTCCCTGAGTCTTCTGATTCTCTGCCGAGTGTTGAAGCTGTTCGAGCCAACAGTCGCCCACCTTAAGGTACGTTCTGCGAAGCAGTAAAAGCCATGCCTCTCAACTCCAGCTTACAGCGTCTCTCCTTGACCCCATGCTCTTGCCAGCTGTAAGCCGGCAGCCACTCGACGATGGGAAGGATCCTGGACACAAGCTTTCGAGGAAAAACCAGACTATCGTAAGGCCAGGACATGCCCAAACGAACAGTCGAAACTGTTGCTGTGCGACATGTCTGCACGACTCGCGGCATCCGGACTGCGGGCAAGTTCCTCTTACAGAGTGCCTTAAAACAGTTTTAGATCCATGAACCCCCTGCAAAAACTGGAAGATATGGAACAGCTGAACAAACAAAACTTGCTTAGGTTGTCAACAACTCTGCCAAAGTGGGCGTGCTGTGGTAAAAGGAGGCTAGGCTCTCGAAAACTAAGAGACTCATCATCCAAATAAAACTGAAAGTTCGCTGAGTCAGATCAAGGCTCCCCCCTGCCAAAGGCGACGCTGTCTATGCTTTCAGAACCAGTACCCTGACCCAAAAGCCCTTTCGACGAATTCAACCCCTTAAGCTCCTAAGCCAACAGCCCGAAACCCTATGCAAAGCCATACACTCTAAGACCCACTAATCCCCAAACCTCCACGTCCCTCAACCCTACACCCCCAGACGCTAAACGGTCAAGTCACTTGTACAGCGTCTCCAGCCAGCCAGAACGGGGTGGTGCCACGAAGGGCTGGGGCTCTTGCCTCATCTCCGGATACAGATGATTTAACATGATTTAGGCTTTAGGCTTTCGAGTTTGGGATCTATTAGTACAAGTACAGCAGGGTGGGGATTTGAAGGGTTTCGGGTTTCGATTCTCGCAGTGGCACCCGGCAGGCTCGGCTCGGATTATGGGCCCATATCTAGAACCCCAAATAGTCGGATCTTGATCAAAGGACCCCTAAATTCTAAATATGGCGTCCCTTTCTTCTGAGACCCCCACATCTGGATGTGTCGGGGCTATCACAGATTCCCCAGTTGAGGCACACCCGTTGTCCGACCAAGTAGTTTCCAATCCTACGCACAAAAAAACGCTTTTCACACGTCGCCCGAGCACAGTGGGAAGAAGACGTCCGCCTCGGGCGCCATGGCTACGATGCTGAGGTTCCCACGGAACCTCTAAAGCGGGTTTGGGATTTGCGATTTTGGGTTCAGCTGGGGTTGCGGGCTTTCATTAAGAGCCACAGGTCGTATGTCAAAATTAAAGATTCACCGAACCTGGGAGACCTAAGGCACCCAGCCTCCCATTCCCAGTCCAAGGTTTCCGGTTACATCCCAAATGGAAAGGCTAAGCCGAAGGGCCAACGTCCTCAACGGTCAACGTGATGCTTTAGGGTCAGGCTTGAGGGTTCCGGGTTTGAGTTCTTGGCGGATGCGCTGGGTGCTGGGGGTGCATGTCCAGACACTTCTGGCAAACGCTTGATAGGCGAGTGGTCCATGCAGTTCCACATTGCACAAAAAGTAGCTGTGCAAAGAACACCGTCCCTGAATTGCTGTATACCCAACCCCAGCGTCCTAGACCCGGAACCTGAATCCACAACCCCAAAACTCTTGTCAGCAGCATTCTCATGCCTGAAGGAAGAAACAATGACCATCAGAGGAAAGAGCAACATCTGCGAGGTTCAAAGACTCACATCCAACACTAACCGAATGCGCTTCAGAAGAGGGAAACCCACAGATCACACGAAATCGGCCAATCGTCTCTTGATCAAGCCTCAAAGCTCTTCCCTGGGCCGTAGTGCCATAGACTCAAACCAGAACCACGTAATTCCTGAACCACCTTTTCCGGACATACGGAACCACGTGCCACAACGCCGGGCAGCCTGACTAAATTGATGTGTCAACGCCGTATAAGTCGGATCGGACACTCGATGCTGCCGAGGTCTAGGTCTACTTTTCTTGAAGGAAAGATGAAAACCCACTTGCCGAGTTCCTCGGTCAAAGCCGTTGAAAGGTTACCGCCTCAACTGCTAAAGTACCAGCGTGTTCATTGAGGTGCATCTCTGTTGAAGGCCCTGGTAACATCCCACTGTTGATGCGCGCGAGTATGCGTGCTACCCCCTTCACGGACTCTACAGACACACGACCTCTCCCAAGAGTTGACCTGTTCCTGGGTCGTAACTTGCAAGGAACTGATTGCAATGGGCCCTGCATGTGAAGTGACTGGCACGCACGGAGCGATGCTCTTGGCCGAAAGGACGGCCAGTATAGTGAGTTGATGAAGACATCTGGCAGCAAGTCTTCAAATTCTCCACCTGTGTGTGGTGAGGTAGCACCAGGAGGTTGAATTGTTTACCTTAGCCAGTCATGTGGAGTGCATCTCTGGCAGATTGAAGCTTCTGAGCTCGACCAGACAAAATTCATGCGGCCCTCGCAAGGCACTGAGCTTGGGGCGCATCGCAACAGCCCACCTTCACAACTTGGCGCTGGTGAGGTTTCCCGGGATAGCTCTACAGAGCTCTTTAGGCCTTGCGAACGACATGATGCCAGAAATCTGGTAACAAGCCAGATTTAATCACCCAAAGCCTTGTGTCCTTAGGCGACGTCATGTCAGCTTCACCCGGGAAGCTTGGGATCCTGCTGGTAGAAGATCTCGCGAAACATGTCGAGGCCTGCCATGAGAGGTCGGCTGTGTTTTGTGGGCGGCCCGACCTTCAGGTCCTCATACCTCGAGGCCTTTAGGATGTTGCATGCTATCCGCATTTGAGGGTAGAGCTCCAAGATGCTCTCAGAGTTTCTGAGGAATTGATCTTCGTACCGCGGAAAGATGAGTTGTTCAAACCCTAGAGGCCCGGACACCGCGGACATGATGACGCGAGCCCTGAGTCCCGCACCGGAAGGGGAACTTCCCTGCGGAGCACGCATTGCCTGCAGCACCTCGATGAGCTCGGGACGCTCGAAGGGAAGGGGGAAGGGCAGAGGCGGCAGAGGCAGAAATTGTAACTCTCACGACTCAGGGTTTAAACGCAACGGCAACAGCATTCATTGCTGCTAGTAATATCTAGTAACTGTAGTTCTTCTCATTGTTAGTTTAGTTCTCATGTATGAGAGGACGAGTGTCCCATATGCATCGGATCATGAGTACCCAAGAACAGAGAAACAGCCTGCGGAATTTCAGGGGGCGCGACTGCCGTCACATCCGTGCTGTCCATCAGGCTGTGACCTCATCAGTTCCAAGAAACTCCTAGCGAATCAGCGACACATGCTTTCTTGGATCTGGAAATCCAAGAAAACCGGAAGCCGACTGCAAACTCCATGGTCCGTGCCTACCATGCGCAAACCCGAAACTGTGGTCGAAGACATGCGAGTTTTAGGGCAACACTAATGAGACTGATAAGGCGGATGAAGAGCAGTCTTTCACGACCAATGTGCAAAGTATCGCGATCTGCGCCCGAAAGACCCGGAGTAGGACGCATCCTCGCCTTCAACTATAGACGTGAAACCGAGAAATGATCTCCCGAAAGCTTAGGCTGCATCCCCTGGGTAGGGGTATATCGGGCATGTGGCAAGCTTTCGTAGGGAGCGTAGCCTTTCGCAGCACTCCCTGATGCCCCAGCTCCAGCTCCGAAGGGTCGAGCCCGAAATCCTATGATGCTACGTTGGTGAACTGGAATTTCCGACTGCGTGTCCGGCTCAAGTTTCGATCTTTGGAAGAGAGACCAACATGAACTGTGATCGGCGGCTAGTCCTCGACTTGAAGCACTGCCCCGACCCCAACGGGCTCTCGGCTTCGTGACAGGTCCACCAGCTCTCTCCCGGGCCGGTACATGCTCTCCGCCTGTGCAGGCTAGCAATACGAAAGACGCAGAGATACCAAACACACCTTCAAGCACCACTAAGAGCAAGAGTTCCACTAAGAGCCCTGCTCCAAACATCCCGAGACCCCCGAAGTCGCCAGCTTGGGACTTGAGATCTCGTCTTTGTTGCCAGAATCCTGTGACCCCGCCGGAGGGGATCTTAAAACCTTTGCCTGTCAGCCCAAGAGCTCGTGATGTACTGTGACCATTCGAAAGACACACCGCTCAAAATAGATGGCCTTGCCCTTGAGACCACTCGAACAAACCATGGTCGCCCCTACGATGGGAGTGGGTCTCGGGAGAGAAAACATCAACGTTTACTGATATGTGTATACAGTATACATGTGTATATGTAAATACAGACATACATGCATGCATGCATACATACATACATACATACGGACATGCATGCATGCATGCATACATAGTTACTTACATACATACATACATAGCTACTTACATGTTTACGTATTTTAGTTACATAAATATACACGCTTATGTTTATAAAGAAATAGATAATGTCATCTGTTAGGTCGTGTCATTCTTTCTTCATACACGATATATATATATATACACATATACATATATATATATATACATATATATATACATATATATATATACACGTGTGTGTGTACATACATTGGGTATCTGAACGTATTCGCATATGTTATCTTCGTGTATACATATGCATATGCTCGTATACATATACGTATGTATGTATGTATGTATGTATGTATGTATGTATATATGTGTAAACATACATACATGCATACATACATGCATACGTACATGCATACACATACATACATGCATACATGCATACATACATACACAAATATATATATATATATGCGTGTGTATGTATGTATGTATGCATGCATGTATGTATGTGCACATGTGTATGCTCTCACTTTCCATCGGCGTGTGTGGACAATGCATGCATGCATACATACATACATACGTCAAATTCATACGTACATACATACACACATCATATATATATATATATACACATACATAACACGCCGATGTTGTAACAAAATATAGTAATCCCCGGAGAGAAAAAACTAAGATACTATCTAGATACATAAGTAGATATACAAAAACGGACATACAAATATACTATGATATATTAATATTTCAACATGTTGTTCTAGTAAAATACTAGTATACTTGTACAAAAACACAACATCAACATAGTAGTGGTAAAATCCTGAAACTAGCACAATACAGTTTTCAACAACAATAATAACAACCGTACAGCAACAATAACAATCAGAAGCTTGGCAATGCACCTATCTATCTTTATTTACATAGTTACACATGAAAGTGACCACTAACAACTGCCTGTTTCCAAGGCTCCGACCCAGTCCAAGTAACTGGACACTGCTGGGTGTAGAGGATAAGTCTGCGGATTCGTAGGGTCCAGGCTGCTTCAGGGTTTCGGAGAGATTCGGTTCAGGGTTCACTCGTTTAGTTGAGGGGTGTCGGGGTTCAGACTTGGGGGGGGTCAACCCCTGAGTTCCGATGCGCAGCTTGGGCGGCTTTTGAGGTGTGCAGAGGTTCGGTTCATGGCTGGAGAAATATGGAATTCTGACGTTTCTGGCTCTGGGACTGTAGGTGAGCTTCTGGGCGCCAGGACTTTGGCTGTAGGAAGCCGTGCGCAACGTGAAGGCTTCCAAAGTATGAGCCTGGCCCTTGACATCCGGCTGCCACGTCCCTTGAGCGCGGCCTGCTTCTTGAACTCCTTGTGCGTGAGAGCAAGGTCCTCGCTCTTGGCATACTTGAGGAAGAAGAGCATGGTCCTGGTTGTGGTGACAGGCAAGATGGCCTGGTAGAAGAAAGGCTGCGCTTTTGCGAACCATGGCTGAGGTCAACATCAGGACGTGAGCCGTGATTGGTGTTTCCTGCGTTCTTACTACACCAAAGGAAGAACAACTGCGGGAGGACCTCATGATTGTTGATTGAGGACAAGATCAGGACTGTAAACCCGAAGCATGCCTCGTAAACGAACAAGCAAGCATTAGTCATTAGTCGAATCATGGTAACACTAGTAGTGGTGAATTTTAGGAACATACAAGCAACCACCCCTCCTTTATATTTCGTCCAAGTCCCACACAACGACCCCCGCTTTATATTTCGTCCAATTCCAAGACTACGACTCCCCCTCTATAATTGTAATCCGTCCAAATCCAGAACAACGAGCGCCCCCTCCTCGCTATCGAACGGTCCGGTATTATAGTATAGTATGGTACAGCAGTATGGTTTGGTATGGGTATAGTGTAGGTATAGTAAGGTATAGCATAGTCTAGTGTCAGTATGAGTATAGTACAGCATGTATTGCAGCAGAATGCAGTATGATACTAGAACATACTAGAACCCTGCAAGGAAAGCGTCTATCTATGTGGGAATGTCCATTGCGGAAGGCCTGCTCCGAGCCTTTGCGCCTACGTCCCAAGCCCAAGGCCTCGATCCCCGCAGAGCTCAAAGGCCTCGGACCACAACCCGAAAAACCTCCTGGGACCCGGGCTCGAGGTGCGCCAGGAGACCCTTGAGGTCTTTGGGCGCCACTTTCTGAGACAAGGAAGCAGAATCAATCCACATGCATGGCTTTGTGTTCTCAACCAGGTGAGTCGGGTTATTGGATTGGACTCGGACTTTCTTTCTGTCGTTGTCGTTTGCCACTTTGTTTCTGGCTCCCGTGGAGTCTGGAATTTCGGGTTTAGGATTTCTGGGTTGCAGGATTGCAGGCTTATTTCCTGTTCGTCTTTTGCTCTTAGTCCTGATTGCGTCCACTTCTCGTCGTTCTTTACTAATCTCTATTTCACCCTCCTCCCAGCTAACAAAACATCAATTGAGGGAGCCTGGACCCTCAGGCCTATAAACCCCTACAAACCCTGCGTGACCCTGGACCCCCTTGAACCCTGTCTCAAACAAACTCTGCACAGGGCTCCACTGGGAAGCAACGAGGTGTCACTTGGACCCAAACAGGAGTTTCTACTCGCGCCCATAGTATGCAATTATATCATACTCTCTATTTTACAGTACAACATTATATGGTATTCTAACAGCAAACCCAACACCCCGAAGGCCTCATCCTCCACCAAGACCTTGGCCCTCGACAGGAACACCTTCCGACCAAGATTGCTGCAGGTGGTATAGTGCTGTTAATGCCGGGAATAGAATGAATAGGGGTTCAGGGGTATTTTGCAGTATCATTCTACAAAGCCTACACAAAGGGATACGACGACGAAGTCTTCAATCCCCTACCTTATTGTTCAGGCTGAGCACCATGGTGCGGAGACCTCATGGCTTTGACCTCGTAGAGTAGAGGCTTTCTTTCAGCTGACATGCCAGCTCTTTAAAAGGAACCTCCGAGTTTCCCAACGTTCTCCGTGAAAGGAGGGACACTCCTGGAGCTTTGAGTTGAGTTTCAGAGCCGGAACACAGAAAAACAAGGGGAACACACATCATGACCGTCACGAGACTTCTGAGCGGCTTAAAATCTTGAAATCTTATGCTACCAGATGGGAGCATGGGAGCACCGACTGAACATTTGTTTGACCCTCAAAGGCTATCTGTCCAGGCTACACCTCATATGCACATTCCACTCTGTCTGGCCAATCGATTCTGGGGACTCGAGCTAAGACGTCAGAGGCCAGGGGCTCTTTACGACCCCTCAGTCCGAAGCAAACGCGAACGCAGGCGAATACAGCAATTACCCTGAAGCTGCTCGCACCTGGTTAACTCCGTCTTCTGCGCGGTCGACCAAGCGCAGGCCTGTCTCAGGCAATGCGAGGGAAGCAATTCGTTCTACCATCACAAACTACTTACAGTTCAAAAGCTTAGGATCACGAAAAGGGTGCAAGCAGGTCCGGTTGTTTCGGCTGGGGAGGACGTGCCCGTAGAACGAAAGCGTGCCTCATAGGGGATACCACGATCCAGCTTGAGCTAGGTGGGTTAGGTAGCTTCAAGGCTACAGAGAGAGTTTCCATGCCACATCGCCGCACCCCAACCTTTAGCGAGTCTGCAAGGAGTTCTCCGCCCGTCCCCCCCCCCAAAAGCACGAAGAGCTAGGCATCCAGCAGATGTCCAAGTCGGTGAAATCGAAAGGGCCGAGCCTGAACAAGTATTAGTCATCAAGAAAGACCTACAACAACATTTGTCACACATACATACATACACACAAGTAAGTGCACACATGCACATGTTCATTTTTGTCTGAATTTTTAGTGCACCGATGATTGTGTATGTTCCGAACACTGCATGTTGGATCAACAGCAAGTTGTAGCACCGACGGTGCAACGCGTCTGTCAGAAAATGAATGAGAACCTGCAGAAAAGTGTGCGGGAAATTGAAAAGTGGATCACTGGCGAGAAAGGCAACTGAGCACATCCATCACCACCATCACCCATCGCCATCAGCATCAGCTTCTACTTCCTCTGACTCCAACGGTAGCAAGTCACAGCACGAACTATAAAAGCTAACCGAACTGACTGACATGAACCTGACATCGACATCAACAGCGGTGGGATCAAGGTGGAAGCAGCAGCAAAAGCGACGACAAACAATTCGACAGTAATCATGAACTCACGATAGAGGTATCAAGCACCACCAAAAACATCATGCTTGCTCCAGGGTGGCAGTTAGAATTCCCACCATCATGGCTGCCGTCACCAATGCAATAGTCACAGCTGCAGGGGCGCTGGCTGCTGACACCGCATAACCTGCCCAAAAGAAACTGTCGGATTTGAGAGGCGTGGGGTCTTGGGGAGGACACAGGAAGGTTGTTGAATCAAGCGACTGAATCTCCGTGGAAGTGCAGGCAAGTATTCCATACCACTTGGAATGCGGTAACTCATTCTCTCGTGTAGCCCGCAAACGTCGTGAACATCTGGGAAAGTATGTAGAAACTGCAGTTGTCGTTGTTCCAAACTGCTTGTCCGTACATCTTTACAGAATCCACGGTGAAGACTGCTGTTTTCTGGAACGGGGCCACGATTCCTCTGCCAGACAGCCGAAGCTCCCAGGTTCAGCCGTGCAAGGAACGGCCAAGCTTCTGTCGCCAACTTTTCTGTATGCGCCTTCATGCACGAGATTCCAGGAAGCTCGAAAGGCCTCTGCCTGCACCTGCAGCTGTACATCCGGAATATGCCGGAACCGGCCCATAGCATCCGAATTGAGGGCAAGATCAGGACCGCGAGCTGAAGAAGCTGGCAGATAGAGCCAGTTGCACTGCTCAGTTGGGGCCGCGGTTGATTTTCGAGATTGCAGGTTTCGGTTTCGGTGTGATTGCCGGCCCGCTCGTCGGCCGCATGCCATTGATATGGCCCGCTTGTTTTGCCGAACCGGCCCTGTGCATGGTAAGCACTGACTTTGAGCACTGTGTGATGCCAGCGGCAGTTTAACGTGCTGACACGCTCTATAGCTGTTAGCGGACCACCCAAGGTGCTCGGGGCTGTGCAGCACGTATCCATTGCCTGCGATGTGCCGGTGCAGTATCGAAAGTGTCTACAGCCTCAGGCACCCAGGGTGTTCTCGGCTGTGTATGTCATGTACAGGAAGCCGTCATCGGATTTGTGGTTCTCGTAGATTTCTGCCAGTGGCGCGCCGGTCTTTGTGGCCTGCTGCGGGCACACAAACTCAAGAAATCAACAACAAATGCTGGGGCTGGCACATCACACTTCCGGCGCACAGGGTGTGTGTAAAGTAGCACCTGCCTTGTTGCCAGCCAGCAGATAGATCACCTCATTTTTTCGTTAGTGTTGTATGTAACTGAAGACATGCACAAAAACACCTCGTCCCAACTATCCAATCCAGGAGTTCTCCTCACATGTTGGCAGCATCGTAGCTCTTAGTCTCAACCTGCTGCCTTCGGCCAAAACCTGTTTGAACGAACAGACCCGTCTCCTCGCCCCGAACAGCTGCAAAGGGACTTCCGTTGATGACATAGCTCCACCCGCTGCTAGCTGAACCTTCAAGTCAAGGGATTGCGACGAATCAAACGATTAAGGACGGGATTCAAGCTGGCAATTCCGACTGGGTGGTGTAGACTGTTGATTCGAACTTGGTGTCCCTGCACCGTTGTGGAAGATAAAGCCCCGTCGCGGGTACCATATGTCAGAATGATTCTCATTAAATTCTCGCCGAGTTCTGTGCTGACGCACCAAGCAGGCGGAGAGAGCTGGGAAGTTCCCGGTTCGACATGATATCCGACATCCATACCTCACAGCAACCTCTAGCCTGCTGACAACCCTGCAACTGGAACGAAGACATGACACCTGTAGCTTCACAACGGCACCGAAATGCGTTACTTGGCTTGACACCGAGAAGGAGCGACGCTACAGGACATGAACAAGTAATTCAACTTACTATAAGGATTCTGTACTGGAAAGAACTACTTCTGAAATGCTACCAGTCATCCTGATCTTCTTGTGCCTCCTCACTACTCGGGCTTACAGCTACTGCTACTGCTACTACCAGTTGTACCACCACCACCACCACCAGCAGCA